ACCTCTGGGAGAATAGCATGGACTCAGTTCTGGTTCGCTTTTTTTACATGAAAAAATTATTTGATTCATTGAAATATGCATTATTCGAATTAGGGATCATTCATTATTATAATAAATAATAAAACCTGTTTTAAAGTAAAATTCCCAAAGGAAGCGTTTTTTTTTGACCTTACGAGTGACCGTAACTCTTGAATAGGCCGATGTATTTTTTGCATGTTATCCAACAACGAGGGCACAGGTTAATCGCGTACATTATTCAATCAATTGTTCCGCTGCTTTATAAAGCGGAATATTCATAATTGTTACATGATTCGAAGAAGATAATAGCTCAGCTGTTCGAAGTTTCAGACGTATAGTGCATAGGAATCTAAGAAATGCCACTTCAGTTGCGTTGAGTTTTAATTACTTTCGACTTCCATTTGACGGTTCATAGGAATTTTCGGTGTGACCAATCGCCTATCTGCATGTAAGTATTGTACAGTTTGAGACAATGATTTTCGACCTATTTTTTACTGTGTTAGTTTCCCTTAGGGAGGCATGACCCGAAAATAGTAATAAGATCATTTCTTCAATGATCGATTGACATGTTCGAGTAAATACTAACAGATTTTCTATAAATGCTCACAAATTGAAACCTTCATTAGTGGTATTTTACATTTTAATTACATTTTTAACACGAAGTATGCAGAAACATACATATACGTATACACAATTTGCAGAAACTCGAATATAATTACTGGTAGAATAGCTTGAAAACGCTTGGAAAAACATTTATGGTATTTTATTTGTACGAGATTCCAGCAGGAAGAAGGAATTTTTCGTGTATCGTAGGAAATTTCATTATTTCTTAACGGAATTTTAATCGAAAACTCGCACTTCGACCAATTATGCAGAGAATTGAATAATATCAGTCAGAATAGTTTGCAGACGCTTGAAAAGCTTAAGGGAGTTTTCTTGATAATTGAATTGACGAAAATTTAGCTAAAAGGGTCTAGCCGGATAAAATGGCAAAATGTGCCCCTGAACGAAATTCAACTTGCCATGAGCCATTCGATAGAGTGTCCAAAGAAAACGTTCTATGTCAATTTTCAACCCTCTATCTCAATCCGGATGGTAGTTATGGGGGTTAAACAATTCTAAAGTTTTTGACATATTTCTCCTACTAAATGTTTAGCAAAAAATTTGAAAAAATTCTCACATGTTCGCGGAACGGTACTCGATATTAGTAGTATATAAAAGNCTCTACAATTGTTTAACCCCCATAACTACAATCCGTTCAAGGGAACATTTTGCCATCTTATCCGGCTAGACCCTTTTACATGGGCTTTCGTTTGCACATAAAAAGGTTTGTGTAAAAATTTCAAGGCTCTTCATTTCTTTATAACCGAGATATAATGTTTTAAAAGTTTGCGACTTTAATAAAGAATCTTATGGGGTAATGAATTTTCATGGATTGTATTGACGAATATCTAAACATTTAACGATAAAACTTACTTGAAATTGTGTGTAGGGTTAAATTACTATTTGAAGAATAGATACGTGTTTTTAAAATAATCATTCATAACTTCCGACACTCGCAATGAAAGGTTAATAAAAAAATTGTGCTCTTGGGGCAAGCAAACTAACCTCTGACGAAATGTGGCAACATCGCACTTATTCGAACGTATTCGTTCTATAGCAAAATGTCCCTGAAAATTTATTTTCCCATAAGACTCCGTGTAAAATTCCTAAATGTGCAAACAAAAGCCCAAGTACAATTTTAACTAAATCTTATCGTTAATTCAATTATCAAGTAAACTTCCTTAATATAGATAGTAATATTTATAAATATTTAGTAACAACGTAATCAATTTCTTGCTATCAAATTTTTCTAATAATTGCGATTCTCTCATCGGACTTAAAATATTTGTATTTTTAATTCCTTCAGCTCCACTTTATGAAGTCTACAACCCCTGATTTAAAGACATCCGAAATATCCACCAATTCCTCAACATTTTATTATCCTCAATTATTATTATTAAGTATTAAAAGTCTTACCATTGGACTATTTCATAGAATGACGTGCACTAAGGTACTCGCTGTTCTCGCACTGATGTGTGTCGTCACGAGGGCACTTCCAGTTCCGGACGACACAGGAGACAGCATTAAAGCGAAAGAAATGAAATACCGTTTGCCAAACACCACGGCTCCTATACACTACGACCTGAAATTTGACCCAAACCTCGTGGACACCTTTACGTTCGACGGCGAAGCTGTCATAAAATTCAAAGTCCTCGAGCCAACGTCGGACGTCAAACTTCATTCGCAGCGTTTAAATTTGAACGAGAGTTCTATAGAATTGACACCGGAAAATGGGAACACGATTAAGCCGCAATGGTGCGATGAGAATAACGAAACGGATATCGTGACGATTCATTTCGATAAGCCTCTGGAAGTCGGGGTGTACACGTTGAGCATAAAATTTTGCGGGAATTTGAGCACGCAGATGTTCGGATTCTTCAAGGATAAGTACAAAAATGAACAGGGAGAAGAAGTGTAAGTTTCATATTAATTGAGATATTTGCGTGCTCAAATAAAATAATATGTTTTAAACATTCGTTCTTTGAATACAATTAATGTTTTAATGACTGAAATACATTGTAAAAATGATAAATAAAACTAAGATAAATTGTAAAATATTTACATGTTTGATTGCATTGAATTGTTTAGATGGCTTGCAGCGACTCAATTTGAGCCAGTATCAGCGCGCAATGCGTTCCCCTGTTGGGACGAGCCAGCATTGAAGGCTACTTTCAACATTTCAATGAAGCATCTACCGAATTGCACGGCCATATCGAATATGCCAATTCGTGAGAAATCAGAAGTCGATGAGAGTGACGGTAAAATTTGGTCGCATTTCGAGACGACGCCGGTCATGTCTACGTACCTCGTCGCGTTCGTTGTGGCCGATTTCGGGAATGTATCTAGCGATGATGGGAAAATACGCGCATGGAGCAGAAGGCAGGTGGTCCCCTATTTGAAGTTCGGTCTTGAAATCGCGCAGAGAGCTGCCAAGGAATTGGAGGAGTATACCAACAGCACCGTCCGGGTGCCGAAGATGGATCACGTTGTCCAGCCTTCCCATGCTTCGGGTGCCATGGAAAATTGGGGAATTATAACGTACCCGTAAGTCGTCATTAGACTGTGGATTTTTATGCCAAATTATTTTCTCTGAAACATATTTTGAGGAATGTAATTCATTTATACAGGTTTTTCATTTTCATAATTTCATGATGCGAGATTTACATCCCTCGATTTATGCATTTTCGGAAATTACATACAATAGATGTATTTTCTTACGTTCCAATTTTCTGTAATTGCATAAAAATTCGTAGTCTGGTCAATATTCGAGTTATATCTCGAATCAATACGAAATTTTTCCATTATTGCCGATTCTCGTCACTAGATTGTAGCTTGTGTCTTGTACCGTCATCAGTATCGTCATCTGTTTATCTTACTTTGCGCAGAATTTACTTTTGTATCTCGATAAATAATGTTCATATCTCAATCATGTTTGCAGCAATTAACGATGCTATACAAGTATTACAAATTGCCTTCATAACTTTATGCGAGATTAATTACATACAGGGTGTTCCAGAACTAATACCACGCCCGAAAATGGGGAGAAGCTGAAATAATGTTAGTTATCTCATTGAATATTTTGTATCTATTCAGTGAACGTCACTAACGACTAATTGCTTTCTTTCTTCTGATATTTAATCAATTCCTTAGTTGCTCTTACATGTAAGTTTTGTTTTAATCCTCGTCACGAGAGTGGCATATGGTCGTAGCAATGTACGAGGCGGTTGTCACTATATGAGCGCTCTGATTGTTCGCGGATTTTTGTTAATAACTTGATAAACACGCCACGAATAACTTTTTTGCAAACGAAAATATTATTAAAATCACTGCATGTGTATTGAGAAAATTTATATCAATGTAACAATGTGATAATGGTGATCAGAAGTATTGTGTCTTAATACAATGGATGATAAGAAACCTAGCTCATGATATAATATATTTAAATTTTATGTTAATATATTTATTGAAATAGAATTTGTTGGAAAATATTTTTAATTTTTGATAATTTACTTTCTGTGATCATGAAAGTCTACCTTACGGATCATCTTCTTTTATTTATGAAAATTGGTTCTTTTTGTAGAGAATCCAGTTTCGTATACAAAGAAGGCGAAACACCGGCGTCTCATAAACTTAGCATAATCGAGACGATAGTGCACGAGGTGGCACATCAGTGGTTCGGCAATGTGGTCAGTCCGACTTGGTGGACTCATCTTTGGCTGAACGAAGGTTTCGCGTCGTTTTTCCATCATTACATCATGGACAAGGTCAGTCAATCATTAAATTTATTGTAGAGGCAGAATCATGTGCAAAATTTTTAATTATTAGTCTTTTATAACAAATAACTCATAATTGCCTTTCATTTGAAATCGGTACTTATTTTTTCCACGTATAGTCATGAATTCCCTTCATTTTCAGGTTTTGAAAATCATTTTGTACTAATTATTTTTTAATAATAAATGCTTAAGTGTAAAATAATTCTTAGTTGTTTATTGATATTCTTTTCGCTCAAAATGAAACACAAAACGCTCTACCTTGGTTATGATTGAATATAACAATTTATACTTTGTCTCATTGGATTCGGAGATTCAGACATTAGATTCTGACCTAGCCCCACCCCCTCGGGCCTAAGACATATTTAGGACGAGTAGGGGATGGACTCGGTCTTCAGGGAGACATGCTGATTGGGAAAACCATTCATAAGGGAAAGCAACCAGCACGTTTTTCCCTAACTCCGACGTGTTGTCACCGGGCAGTGTTAGCAGCATTTCGGCTAAACTACACAGTTCGTTTATGCGAATGATCGAGATCGATTCTTGTCGTCGTTTCGGACATTAATCGAAATCGAAAACTTAGATAGACGTGAGCCTTGCCAAACGTTCGGGCAACGATCAAGATCTAAAAGCTGCCAACCGTTTCGGGTACTGATCGAAATCAAGGCTTTTATAATCGTACTCTGCCAGTCGTGTTGGGCATTTTAAACTAGTAAAATTCAGAGTAATTTTTTAATTTTACGCTCGAACTCGGACATCCATCGACGAGGGGGGTCCGAGACGAAACACCAATGAATAATACTTTTATCACCCCATCGTCGCCCCAGTCGTAAATAAAAACTTATTTATTTTACTTTGTTTATGCTTTTTTATAATATAACATTAAAATATATGAATGTGGAAATGATAATATACATTTAATAATGAAATTTTCACTTCATATTCTTATTTTAAAATAAGCCCATTGTATTTCCCTCTTGACACGTTACTCAAATAGCCAGCTACCTTAAAACTAAAATTAGAACTAAACCATACATCGCTCTCCTTATTAGTTTACTGTTATTATTCCTTACCTCCAATATAAAATATTCTGGAACTATGCACTATACAATGAGTTTATACGGGGAATACAATATTTGTAGGGTGGACAATTTTCGAAGATCGTACTGTATAACCCAAAATAAGACGAACATCAAGAATGATTTTCAAAATTACGTTTGGGAATTCATTAATTGATTATTGGCAAATAAAAATTGAGCGTTTCTGCGCCTAAATCAGGCAACCGAAGTTGCACCGTCGTATGACTGACAGCTGACCGCCGTTAATCGATACGTTGAGGCAGCCCATATAGCTTTAAGAAAACGATGTACTCACCCTGTGTGCTTGGAACTAAAGAATATATAAAAAATTTAGCCTGACATACAACCTAATTACTCGGTAAATCCCTAAAAGCGTGTCGAAATTCACTCTATGGGATTTTCGATGCAAGTGGGCAAATGCCTTTTCGAAATGTCATAAACGCATAAAAACGAAGCACTTGTGTGCATTCACTTTTTATCGAGAAATACACACGAACCACAATATTTGTTATTCCATGTATGATTTTTCGTCTGTACTATACTATAAATAAGAACAAAGTCTACTGATAAATATATTCGTCGTAATTATTCGTCCACGTAGATATTTTTTAAAGAGTTCACTAGCACAGTTCATTAGCATAGATCACATAATTTAATTAATTTGTCACTCTTGATTGTCGTTTTATGTTGAGTCGTAGAATACCATCCTTGAATATTGCCCACTAGTATGTTTACACCCTGTATATTCCATTATATTTTGCACTTTCAAACCAACTTGATCGTTTTTGCTTTCATTTTTGTCTGTGGTAAGCTTTATTACATCTTCCTCATTATCTCTTATTTGCTCTATTTTATTCTTAATCTAACTATTTCTCTTCATGTGCTCTGTCCTCTCTTTTTTATCCGTTGCTTACGTAATCTATTATATATTATTTTATATTATTTAAATCTAATCTAATATATAATAATAATTTAAATGTGAAAAAATCTGTAATTTCGTTTATTATTAATGGTTGACTTTTATGTTATTTTATACTA